CGCGTATGGTCGGCCGCGCGACCGTCGAAAGCGAAAGCGTGGCAAACTTTTGTTCGGCGAACGATCGCTCTCCGGGGGGAGACTTTCTTCGAAACGCGTCCTCCGTGTCGAGCGCGAGGGGTTAAGTTAAGGAGCAAAAAGGGCCAAAATACGAGCGGCGAGCGACGTCGACGAGCAACGAGCGAGGAAAAGAAAAAGTAGAGATAAAAATTGAAAGATATAGAGCGAAGACGGAGAGAACGGACGTCGACGGGCGGCAGAGGGCTAAGGACGAAGAACAGATAGCGGAGAGTCGGGTGGAGAGCAGCGGGCAACGCGAGCTGTACGTAAACGAAGAAAAAGTCAATGGAGACCGGTTGCTCGACAGGTGAGGTCTTTCCTCGACCAAGCTACGCACAGGTGTGCAATCTGTAAATCCCCCGTAGCAAAAAATTATACAGCCTTCGGCACCGCTTCGCGACGCGGTCGTGCGCTGTTATCCCAGTCACCGGTTATACGTACTCCGATCGAGCGATTACCCCCCGACCATACGCAAACTTTCCATCGGGACGCGCTTACCGTCTCCGTTCCGATCGAAACGCGCCACGCCGCCCAGAACCACCGCGCACTCATCAATTTCTTATCGTTTCTTTCCAATAACGATTCTACCTGTATTTTCTCCGACGACAAACTCGGAGTTTTACTCGTTTCGTATACGTTCCGCGAACAGGCGAAAGAAAATGATGGCGAGAAGAAGAAGAAGAAGAAAAAAAAAATGGTAAACGAAGATGAGCGGGAAAGATAGGCGCGCAAGAGAGAGGGACGATAACGCGAGAACAGCGTCCCAGGAAAGTCGAATAAAACCCGGTCGAAACGAGTCTGCTCGATGGAAATAAGAGGACGGAGCTACGAGGCGAAACGCTTCCATATCGTTAGACGAATCGTTGGCTCTCCTCACCAGGTGGTCCTTTTCTTCTGCCGGATGACTCAATCGTGAGAAGGAGTTGCTCGACGAGCTCGGGAGGGACCTCCTCCTCGCTAGAACCGCGCGTGCACCTCGCTGCTCGCTGTCTGACTTTGTCCGACCGTCAGTTTCTGTTTCTTCCTTTCTACCACCTTCGTAACTCTCCTCTACGCGCACTCCACTTTCTTTTTTGCTCTTTCCAATTCGGTTTATCTTTCTTTCTTCCTTTCTTCCAGACAAACTTCCGATATTCTTCCGACGTATCCGCCTCTAATCGTTCGTTCGAATACTAACGCGTTTCGTGCGATATTCCTACGAGATTCGTATCGAAAGCCGAAACAACGACCACAGAGAGAGAGAGGGTGTAAAGGAGAAAAACAGAAAAGCTAGAACGAGAAGGAAGGAAAGAAAAAAGTAGGCAGCGAGTTGAAAAGGTTTAATTAACGAGATGTGGAGAGGGTAAGAGGCGGAGGGAAGGAAGGAGGAAGAGGGAGAGGGGGCTAAAAATCGTAAATCAAGCGACAACGAGGTAGCGGACGAAGCGAGAACCACCGAACGATCCGCGATCCTCGACCGCGTTCGCCGATTCTCTTTTCGCTCGTTCTTCGCTCTTCTCGTTTGCTCGACGTTACGCAAAGTCGTAAAGAGATCGAACCCGGAACGGAAATCTACTTGGACGAGTTCGATCGCTCCGAAGGAGAAACCTAGACGCGATCTTAAAGAGAGGGAGAGAGAGAGATCGAGAGACAGGAAAGAGAAGGCGAAAGACGAAAATCTCGACCGCGATGTCCTATCCTATTTTATCGTATGATCAGGCGAGGAGGTTCGAGAACTTTCTGGCGGGCTTGTACGTAGCTAGAGGTACTTTGAAAGTGCCGCGAAAGTGCTGGTTATCTGGTCACGATCGACCATCAAAGAGGTAGGACAGGAGGGGAGGAGGGAAAGACAAGAGAGAAGAAATAAGAAAGAGGAAAGAAGAGAGAAAAGGGAGGGCAAGGATTGGCTAGAGGGAGGGGAGAAGAGAAGGACGCGGAGAAGCCGAAGAACTCGAGGAGAAGGAGAGATAGGCGGGTTGAACGGACGACGAAGAATCGAGGCGTCCGGCGTCCTCGATCGCGGGATCTTGGAGTAAAACTAACGATCTCCTGCTCGCTCGCGAGATCAACGCGACGATAATTTAATACGCGAGATCACCACCCAGGTGTGCTCTGACGCGTACAGATGCCGTTCGTAACCTCGACGAGAAGGAAAAGGCTGAAACCGGCGATCTATACGCTGCGCGCGATTCCGAACGCGAGCGATCGAGCCCTCTTCTCCTTTCTCTTCCTTCTCCTCATCCTCCTCCTTGTTTTTCTTTCTTCTCGTTTCCAAGGTTTTTTTCCTTTCCATCGACATGCACGAATCGGTCGCGTTTTACGATCAAAATTCGCCGGTCGTTCGCGGCGACGAGGAAACTTTGAAAGGCGCGCGCCTTTTACCCGAAACGGACGCGAAACGAGCCGAAAAATCGAAATCGAAGAGGATATTTTTGATCGTGACGCGATTCTAATAGGAAGATACCGTTTGCGGCTAATACTCGGAACGAACGCGGAACGAGCGCGGAATGAGCGCGAAGCGAACAGAAAAAACGAAAAGTATTTCTGACGTCAGCCCTTTTCGTAGAAACGATTCGATACCTCGAACCGAGCGTCGAGACGAGAAAACAGAAACTCGTACAATGCGCGATTCGTCGATTCATCGAACCGAGACTACGTAAATAGAGGAGCCAATGACGTCAATCGTTCGCGTTAATTACATAAGGACAGTCCTATTAACCTATGCCAACGGCGACCGACGATTAAGCGTTAAGCGATTCCGATAGTCTTTAAACTCATTCATCGACCGAGCGCTGCTGCTCGTTTCTTCGATGTTCCTTCCATCGTATCTCGTTTCTCGTTATTTCGTCGCGTCGACGTGTTGCCCTTTCCATTCTCCGGAACAATCCGATCCAGCTACAAAAGCGTACGGGGTTCGAGCGCGTAACGAGCAGCGTCTATTGACCTTGAGCCATCTACGAGAAACGTAATTTAGGAGCATTTCGCGAACAATCGGCCGAGTCGAACGACGCGACGCTCGCGTGCCTCGACAATTAATTTCGAGGAAATCCCGAGGCAGGGTTCGCGATACGCGAATATTTCGAAATTTCCGAGAGAGAATCGAACGATCGTCGTTTAGATCGCGCCGATCGGCAGGACGAGGACGTTTTCCGATTCGAAAAGCAGAAGGAAAAACTTGGTGGGAACGAGTCATGGTCGCTGAATCGAGCAGGTCGAAACGAGAATACAACTTATTTCCATGAAATTCGTGGAATGGATGGGCTTTCTCGTGAGCCGCTCGTGTCCAAGGCGAAGCAAGACAAGGCAAGGCAAGACAAGGCAAGCCGTGCCAAGCGAAACCGAGCCAAGCACAGCTGCGCTCGCGTACAACTTCGTATGTAATGCACGTAGTCGACGCGCGGGTATTTGCGAAGGAATGCTCAACAGGTGTGTCGCCCGGATTGAGCTTTATGCCCGCGTGCACGGCTTGCCTTTCCTTTCGCCCTTCCTTCTTTCTTTTTCTCTGCCCCCTACCCCCCTGGCCGCAATCTCTCTCTCTTTAGTCACTGTTTCTCGCCAACTATTCTATTCGCCGAGAATATTACGCGGCCTAGCGCGAACGGATCGTTCTCGAATTCGTTCGAGATCCAGAAAAATAAAGAGTACGTGTCGAACGGGGGATAAAATCGAGGCGCGCGACGTCGCGACGAGAAAGCGTAGGGGAATACGCGAAGTAATCGACAGTGAAGCTACTGTTTCTCCAGACCTTGCGGGCATTAGTGTCTTTTTCTCGGTATGCCTGGAATGGTTCTCCAACTCGAAGGCTAAGAGGAAGCTGCGAGGGGAGAATCGTACGATTTATTTACGCGATCCGGCTGGTCAGGAGGCGGCCGGTTAGGCTCGAGAAACGCAAAAGCGTACGCGCTATCTCTCGTATGTAGGACAAAGCCAGCTCTGTGGTAGTCGGCTCTACCGCCGTTCTGCTCGTCTCGTTTCGACCTCTCCGTGCTTCTGCTCCGATCATCTCGACGCCCCGGTATCGTCGTTCTATCGTTTTATCCTCCTTCTACCCTGACAAACGGTTCGCTTCTTCCTCTGGCCCCGATTCTCCTTCGTTCTCGCTCGTCGATATTATCGCGATATCGATCGAATTAACGATACCGATACGCTCGAGAGCATCGACGTAAACGACGAGCTCGAAGTCGACTCCTCGCGGATGCGAACACGCGAGCAAAAAGAAAGAAAAAACGAAAGAAAAAGAAGAGAAGAAATAGAAAAAGAAAAGTAGAGAAAAAAGGAAGAAAAAACATAGGAGGAAGAATAAGACGAGAGAAGTAGTCGGTACTGGCAGCAACGTCGCGATTGGATATTAGCGTCGAAGGCTCGTAGTGGGGCGTAAAGCAGCGTTCCGGCAGACAGCTTGGCGTCCTATGGTTCGCGTTACGGCTCGTAGCCTTTCTTCGTCTTTTGCTTCTCTCGTTTCGCTTCACCGCATCTTGCGTTGCGCGTTTCGCTGTATTTTCTCTGGATACTCGGATATACGCCTTCTTTTCCTTTCTCTTCTCTTCCCTGCCCTTCCCCTACCTTACCCTTACCGCCCCTTCCCTTATCGCCCCTTCCCTTGCCCTTCCCTTCCCTCCCTTTCTCTTTTATTTCCTTTTTTCCTCTTGCTTCCTTCTCTTCCTTTGCTTCCACTTGCTTCGCCTTTTATTTTCTTTCCTCTTTTTTCTTCGTTTTCGTGTTCGACGACCGTATCGTACTTTTATCGGTTAAAACATCTTTGTCGAATTTTTCGAGAAACTATCGATTAGAAGTACGCGTAGCGGTCGTTCGAGACCAAAGTACGAAATGTACCCGAGAATGTCGAGCAACGAGTGTCCGTTGTTTCTTTCTCCCTTTTTTATTCGTTTTCCGGAGATTAGAATCAAACGCCAAGGACCAGTTCTCGTTCGAAAGGGGCGTTACTACGATCTAACGCGATTATTAATCGGTGTTCTGGCTCGGCTCGTAACGCGGACCGCTGTAAAACGGCCGTAGTATTCGATTCATTCCGTTCTCTTTAAATAGTTTCGAGAGAGCGTGCGACTCGACCGCGCGACAACCACCGATCTAAGAAAAGACCGCCGAGATATTTTCGAAGCCGCCAATGATACGCGTGTAATGCACCCGGACACGAGCCGTTTCGCGTAGAACCGTCGAAATAACCGATTCGTTTCCGTTGCGCCGTCTCGAACGATCTTGGAAAACTCCAGTCGGAATACGACTCGGAGATTTACGCGATAAATCTTGCCTCTCTGTTCGTTTGACGGAAAAGTTGACGCGTACGCTCGCGCACGCTCGCTCGGTGAATTTCTCGAGAGGCGTGTCGCGAATAGTGCCGAGCTACAGGTGGCTGTTGTACTCCGTTCCTCCTACTCTTTCGCGTCTCTTCGTTACATCCTTCGCTAATAATTCTTTATCTCCGCGATATAATCATTACCGCTATGCAGTTTTCCTCTATTTTTACACCTTTTCTTTCCTCCGTTATCCTTATTTTCTCATTTTCCTTATTTTTTCTGTCCTTTCTCCTCCTCCCGATTCGATCTGTTACAATGTTATCTCTAACGACGCAGCTATCAAGGATACGCCGAGAGAAATCTTCGAATCGAAGCGTTTATCGTTCGTAAATATTACCGTCGAATCGTGTTTGCTCTTGTCGGCGAGAATTCTTTTTGTTCGCGCGACACGGTTCGAGCGAATCGCGATCGAGAAAGAACATCTAACGATCTAACCAAAGAACGCGTCGTCGAATTCGTTTTGGCTCCCACTTGCTCGCGTGTACGTTGATCTTTCGAGCATGAGTCAACTCGCGTTTGATCCTCGGCTCGACCGCGAGTACAAGACACAAGATCCCCTGAATGAATTCTAAAGATAGACGCCCCGTGCCCCCTTTCGTTCTCTGTCTTCTTTTCACCTTTTCGAATATTTCACGAGCAATTACTCGTTTCTCCTTCTAACGGAGCTTCCCGTTCTTCTTCGTTAACCTTCTCGAGGTGACATATGGTCGAATTCGACCCGACTCGGCGC